TCCCTGTGGTCCTCCACCAACTTTTACACATCCTGGCCACTCACATCCAACCCCAGGGACTTCCCCAAAGCCACAATAGATTCCACAACAACCGTGTTTCTCACTTTCTTTACCAAAGAGCTGGCACTAGGAACTTTCTTTGGGCCCATGGTGGCTTATTTTGGTCACAATCAATAAACAAGCACAAAAATTGCAAAATGTTTTGGATGAATACTCACTCAACCAGTGACAAAGCCAGAGTGACGGCGTCCCCGGGAAGGTGGACACGTCCAATACGGCCGATTTCCGAATCACTGGCCAAAATCCAGGGCAAAAATTTTTGCCAAAAAGCGGCAGATTTCTGATTCGGCTGATATCCGCAGCAGCCGAAATCTGAGGTCCCACTGTACCCTATTTTCTACTTTTTTTAAAGAATGTGAAAATTTAAATTTAAAAGGAGTGAAACATTCTCCCAAGTTGAAATATATATTTGTACACAAGGTTATATCACAAAATAGTAAACAAAATTTCATGGGATATCTTTATTATTACATAAGCCAGAGAAGGCTAAACTGACATTTTTTTGGCACATTGATATTTGTCCCCCACTTTTGAGGCTCAATCAGTATGCCAATTTAAAATTAAATCCATATCAGTTCCATTGGATTAAGCATAAGATGTTGTATACGACAGCAAAGTTTCGTTTATTTTGGAAGAAAGAGTGAGAAATTATTTTTATTCAAAACTGCCGAAATCTCGTAGGGTTATGGTACATGGTCGTGGCATAGTGTCAAACAAAGGGTTCTATCTCAGCAACCATTTCATTGACAGATCTAAAACTTTACCAAACTTAATATGAGACATAAGTTCAGTATACCAAGTTCCATCAAAATCCATGATGGTGAGATAGGGCACTTTTCTAAAATCAGACCACTTAACAAGGAATGACCTGTGCATAAGAAAGGCAGCTAAAGTACAAATGGCACAATTTTAAAAGAAGGACTTATGTCAAACTGATTCAACAATCTTCAGTTTTATGGAGCGAGTGAATAGAGATGAAGATACAATAAGTTACCCACAGTAAAAATATAATGAGACAAGATGAGTGATTAATTTTCTATGAGAGTTAGAGAAAGACTGGAAGAACAGGGACAAGAGTAGACCAGGAAAGATTACAAATGAATCTAGACAAGCTGCATGACTAGTCTAACAAGTGCCTATTGGTAATTAACCTTACCCTCGGAGCAGGGTAAGGATGTATGGAAACAGAGTATAGGCTTCAGTGACAAAGAACATAATAAGAACATAAGAAAGGAGGAACACTGCAGCAGGCCCGTTGGCCCATACTAGGCAGGTCCTTTACAATTCATCCCACTAACAAACATTTGACCAACCCAATTTTCAATGCCACCCAAGAAACAAGCTCCGATGTGCAAGCCCCTCTCAAATCCAACCCCTCCCACTCATGTACTTATCCAACCTAAATTTGAAACTACCCAAAGTCCTAGCCTCAATAACCCAACTAGGTAGACTGTTCCACTCATCAACTAAAGGCAGCAAACAACTCAGGAAGAGGAGAACCTTAGGGTGAACATAGTTCCAAGCATTTCACTGAGGAGCACATCACCTGAATAACCGCTGTGGCACACACAATCCTGGCAAATTTATGGGTAACTTTCGGGAACATCAACAGGGAGGCAACTATGATCTTATACGTGGCACATGTCAGGCCCATCTTGGAGTATGCACCATCAGCATGGTACATACCTTAAAAGAGTTTCAAGAGTTTCACTACTCTTGGAGCCCAGCCATGGGCCAGGCTTGTCTGGTGCTTGCCTAGTTAACCAGGCTGTTGCTGCTGGAGGCCCACTGCCCCACATATCCATCACAGCCTGGTTGATCTGGCACCTGGTGAAGATACTTGTCCAATTTCCTCTTGAAGGCTTCTACACTTGTTCCAGCTGTGTTTCTGAGATCTTCTGGTAAGATGGTAAATAATCCGAGGCCACAAATGTTGATACCTTGCTGTGCCCACTGAACCCCTGCTCCTCACTGGGTTTATTTTGCACTTCCTCCCATATCTCTCACTCCAGTATGTTATGGCAGTGTGCAGATTTGGGACCAGGCCCTCAAGTACTTTCCAGATATATATATTATCATGCATCTTTCTCTCCTCCACTCCAATGAGTATATGTTCAAGACTTGAAGGCATTCCCAGTAATTTAGGTGCTTTACTGGCAAAATGTGAGTCATAAACAATCTCTGTATTTGCTCCAGCTCTGATATTGTTTTGAATGGGGCCATCAGCACTGAGCAATATTCTAAATGAGAGAGCACTATCAATTTGAAGAGTGTTACCAATGGCATTATTACCCTTGTTTTGAAAGCTCTCAATACCCACCCCGTCATCTTCCTGGCTGTCGTGATCTTTATTTTGCTATGGTCTTTAAAAGGTCATCTGACATAATTATTCCCAGGTCTTTCACGTGTTCCTTTCGTTCTATTTGGTGACCCTCTTTGAGTTTTGTATATAGTGTTCCTTTTGAGTTCTTCATTCTTTCCATACCTAAGCAGCTGGAACTTATCACCATTGAACGTCATGTTATTCTCCAATGCCCAATGGAAAACCCTGCATATGTCTTACTGTGATTTTTCAGTGTCCTCTACCATAATGACTTTCATGCTTATTTTGTCATCTGCAAATGATTATGCAAAAGTGTGATGGGTATTTTTATCAATGTCTGCTATGAGAATGGGAAACAGCAGAGGTGCCAGGACAGTGCCTTGGGGCATTGAGCTTTTTACCTTGCTGACGTTGGATCTTGCTGTTCACTACTACTATTTGTGTTCTGTGTTTGGAATCTGAAAATCCATCTGCCTACCTTCGCCGTAATGTCCATGGCCCTCATTTAGTGCACTATTACTCCATGATCACATTTGTCAAGTTTTTTTTTTTTTTTTTTTTTTTTTCAACAAGTCGGCCGTCTCCCACCGAGGCAGGGTGACCCAAAAAAGAAAGAAAATCCCCAAAAAGAAAATACTTTCATCATCATTCAACACTTTCACCACACTCACACATTATCACTGTTTTTGCAGAGGTGCTCAGAATACAACAGTCTAGAAGCATAAACATATAAAGATACACAACATATCCCTCCAAACTGCCAATATCCCAAACCCCTCCTTTAAAGTGCAGGCATTGTACTTCCCATTTCCAGGACTCAAGTCCGACTATATGAAAATAACCGGTTTCCCTGAATCCCTTCACTAAATATTACCCTGCTCACACTCCAACAGATCGTCAGGTCCCAAGTACCATTCGTCTCCATTCACTCCTATCTAACCACGCTCACGCACGCTTGCTGGAAGTCCAAGCCCCTTACCCACAAAACCTCCTTTACCCCCTCTCTCCAACCCTTTCGAGGACGACCCCTACCCCGCCTTCCTTCCCCTATAGATTTATATGCTTTCCATGTCATTCTACTGTGATCCATTCTCTCTAAATGACCAAACCACCTCAACAACCCCTCTTCTGCCCTCTGACTAATACTTTTATTAACTCCACACCTTCTCCTAATTTCCACACTCCGAATTTTCTGCATAATATTTACACCACACATTGCCCTTAAACAGGACATCTCCGCTGCCTCCAACCGTCTCCTCGCTGCTGCATTTACCACCCAAGCTTCACACCCATATAAGAGTGTTGGTACTACTATACTTCATACATTCCCTTCTTTGCCTCCATAGATAACGTTTTTTGACTCCACATATACCTCAACGCACCACTCACCTTTTTTCCCTCATCAATTCTATGATTAACCTCATCCTTCATAAATCCATCCGCCGACACGTCAACTCCCAAGTATCTGAAAACATTCACTTCTTCCATACTCCTCCTCCCCAATTTGATATCCAATTTTTCTTTATCTAAATCATTTGACACCCTCATCACCTTACTCTTTTCTATGTTCACTTTCAACTTTCTACCTTTACACACATTCCCAAAACTCATTCCACTAACCTTTGCAATTTTTCTTTAGAATCTCCCATAAGCACAGTATCATCAGCAAAAAGTAACTGTGTCAATTCCCATTTTGAATTTGATTCCCCATAATTTAATCCCACCCCTCTCCCAAACACCCTAGCATTTACTTCCTTTTACAACCCCATCTATAAATATATTAAACAACCATGGTGACATTACACATCCCTGTCTAAGACCTACTTTTACCGGAAGTAGTCTCCCTCTCTTCTACACACCCTAACCTGAGCCTCACTATCCTCATAAAAAACTCTTTACAGCATTTAATAACTTACCACTATTCCATATACTTGCAACATCTCTGCCACATTGCTCCTCTATCCACTCTATCATATGCCTTTTCTAAATCCATAAATGCAATAAAAACTTCCCTATCTTTATCTAAATACTGTTCACATATATGCTTCAATGTAAACACCTGATCTACACATCCCCTACCCACTCTAAAACCTCCTTGCTCATCCGCAATCCTACATTCTGTCTTACCTCTAATTCTTTCAATTATAACCCTACCGTACACTTTTCCTGGTATACTCAGTAAGCTTATTCCTCTATAATTTTTACAGTCTCTTTTGTCCCCTTTCCCTTTATATAAAGGGACTATACATGCTCTCTGCCAATCCCTAGGTACCTTCCCCTCTTTCATACATTTATTAAACAAAAGTACCAACCACTCCAACACTATATCCCCCCTGCTTTTAACATTTCTGTCATGATCCCATCAGTTCCAGCTGCTTTACCCCCCTTTCATTTTACGTAATGCCTCACGTACCTCCCCCACACTTACATTCTGCTCTTCTTCACTCCTAAAAGATGGTATACCTCCCTGACCAGTGCATGAAATTACTGCCTCTGTTTCTTCCTTAACATTTAAAAGTTCCTCAAAATATTCTCGCCATCTACCCAATACCTCCATCTCCCCATCTACTAACTCCCCTACTCTGTTTTTAACTGACAAATCCATATTTTCCCTAGGCTTTCTTAACTTGTTTAACTCACTCCAAATTTTTTCTTATTTTCATTAAAATTTCTTGACAGTGCCTCTCCCACTCTATCATCTGCTCTCCTTTTGCACTCTCTCACCACTCTCTTTGTCAAGTGACTTTGCAAAACCTGTGTAAATCACATCTGCGTTTTGGTCATCTTCCAATGCCTCCGTAATTCTGTCATAATGGTTCAACGGCTGTGACAGGCATGATCGTCCTTCTCTAAAACCATGCTGGTTTAGGTTTTGCTGGTTGTGCAGGTCCATGAAATTTGTAATTTACAGTCTCATCACTCTTTCAAAGATTTTTATGATGTGAGAAGTTAGGGCTACTGGTCTGTAATTTTTAGCAGGTGCTTTACTACCGCCCTTATGCAAAGGAGCTATGTCTGCACTCTTTAAGGCCTCCGGTATTTCACCTAGATCTCAGCTCATTCTCCAAAGAATACTGAGGGCTCGTACTAGTAGTACTTTGCACTTGTTTATGAATAGGGCATTCCGTGAATCTGGTCCAGGTGCTGAGTGGGCATGTTATCCATTTCTTTTTTGAAATTATGGGATTTGTACTAATGTCAGTTAGTTTGTCTGTGCGGCCTTCTGCTAGAGTGAAAAATATTTATGCATTTTCTACCTTGCTGTCATTTAGTGGGTTGCTGAACACTGACTCATACTATTCTTTTAGAATTTCACTCGTTTCTTGTTCATCGTCAGTATACGAATCTCTTCTCAATAATGGTCCAATTCTACAGGTAGTTCTTAGCTTGGATTTTGCATAGGAATAGAAATATTTTGGGTTTCTTGCAGTATCCTGTATGGCCCTGTGTTCCCTTTGTACTTCTGTTAGGTATGACATCCTAAGTTTTTGCTCTATTTCAGTGATCACTTGGCTAAGACTATCTTTCCTCTGTACCACATCTGGTAAAGCATGTAAAGAAGCTTGGAAAAAGTGCTAAGGTTTGCAGTGAAACTAGACCCAGAGATGAGAGGTATGACCTACAAGGAAAGAATAGAGCAGTTAAACCTGATGACATTAAAGGACAGAAGGACCAGAGGTGACATGAGTATGATGTACAAAATAAGAAGAACTGACAGGGTAGACAGGCAGAGTCTGAGAGGAAGGTCTCAGGTACATGAGGTCAAACAACTGGAAGTTAAAAGTACAGATGAGCCACAAGGCTATTAGGAAATCCTACTTTAGCCTTAGAGTGGTCAGGAAGTGGAACAACCAAGACAACAAAGTGGTAGAGGCAGATCCATACATAGCTTAAAGAAGAGGTATGGACTCATGCAGCCAGGAGTGAAACAAGTAATGGCCAGCAGAAAGGCACAGCCAGGAGCTGACACTCAACTCCTGCAACCACAATTAGGCAAGTACACAAGTGTAAATAGTTAGGTTATCTGTTAATGGTTCTTGGGATCATTGCTGCCATAGCTTAGTTTTGGATCAAGCCTCTTCAGTTAGAAAGGAAATGCAGGAACAAGAATTACAGAATTAGGAATAACCCATAAAGTACTACAGGGTGCATAATACTGAATGTAAATACAAATTCACAGCATTTTCCTGCTATCTCACATCTTCACAAGACCAACAAGCCTGTTAGGAGTGCAAAATTTGTAAAAGGCTTTCATAGTGTACTCAGGACAGGACAGCAGTACATTCTCAAGCGATTGCTGTCTATCAGATGAATAAATTAAAATACACGAGAATTTTTTTTTTATTTTTAGACGAAGCTGACCTGCCTACAAAGTCAAGCTAAAATCGAGTGCTATATACACGGTACGTAAATAAACAGATATCAGAAAAACTGAAAATTATTGCATAGCAGATTAGTATTAGATTACTGCATGGTATTTTAGTATTAAGCAAAGGGACAATGCAAGTTCAATTACAATCTGCCTCATCACATTAAATGTTAATAATATGGAAGCTAGTGGGTTAAAAAGATAATTGAATAAAAGGAATACTGTACAAGCTAGGAAACAAAAAGAAAACTAATTTAAAGCTAAAATATAAGGAGTACAACTGATTCTGCCTGCAAAGACAACAAAAATATACTGTATGTGCAAGTATTAAAAACAGGAAAGTAAAAAAAATGCACAAACAAGAGAATGAGAAAAAGAGGAGTGGTGTTATGTCAGTGAAGAAAGGGAAGCTCCTTCCCTTCTCTTCCCTTCCTTTGTGGTATCACTTCAACTAGTAACTAAAGTCAACTGATCAACTGCATGCAAAATTCCAATGCCAATTAGAGAAACAGTCTGATGACGGCACAATAAGAAGCTTTCTTACACTTCTAGAACACCTCTGCTAAAGTACTAGGTTACCAACTTTCTTGTCATACCTGTTCTTCTTCATTCATAGGTATTAAAGCCAGTGGCTCCTGAGCCTTTTCCACATATGGATGGCCAAATGTGTGTATCCCATCCGGCGGGCTTTGATGCTTGCTGAAAAATGCCAGTATCTCTTCGCGACCATATCGATGCTCTGCTGGCTGAAACAGAAATACAAATAAAAACACAACAAATTACTATTGAAGCAGATATACTCTCGCCATTTATATTTGAATATTCCCACCATATACTGGAATATTCCTGCCACATATTAGAATATTTTTTGCCCTTTATTGGAATATTCCCACCATACATTGGAACAGTCCTGCCATATATTGGAAAATTCTGGTCATATATTGGAATATTCCTGCCATGTTTCGTTTTTTTATCCCCTTGACTGTCGAAACCCCAATCCTGAGGTGTCTGCTGGTGTCGAAAATTTTTTTGAAGGAAAAAAAAAAAACCTTATGAAATGATAGAGAATCTTTTCCCGGTGGTAATGACACCAAAAGAATGAAATTTGATGGAAAACTTACGGAATTACGCTCTCGCGAAGTCAGCAACCTCGGTGATATTTACGAATCGGCGATTTCGCCCACTTTGAGCCCTATTTTCGGCTAATTTCATTGTTCCAGATGACCAAACTCATAGCTATTTCTTTAGAATTCCATTTTTTCTATCGACTGAGCACAAGAAACTGCCCATTTACCGACTTCAACTACCCAATAACGTGGTCAGAAATTTGCAACTTGGCTAATTTCACACAAATTAAAAAAAATGACAATTTCAAAAAAAAGGTCCAGAATGAACAATGCAGACATTCCTGGCTCTAAAATAACATTTTCTTTGTTCAACAGTCACATCTCCAGGCCCCTCTGATATTACTCTTGCTTTCTATATTGAATTTTTATTTAAACAAAAAATAGAAGATTTACTATTATGCAGGCTACTGCAATATTGTAATAATTGTATAAATAATGTCAACCCATTCATGACTGCATATTAGAATGGCTAGTTGGACATTTATTGGACAATGACATAATTTGTTTACTTTTGAACATTGGCAAAAATCAAACATTTCCCCTACTTTGAGCTCCATTTCAAGGTTCTTTTCATAGTAAAACCAATCAAAATCAGCTCTCTTTCTATAATATGTTTTCCAGTCTAGCAAATGAGACCAAGAAAACGAGAATACAACCATAAATACTATACAAAAATAGACCACAAAGTCGGCGTTTTATTAAAAAAAAAAAAAGGTCGGAATGTTTTTTTCTCATTATGCACTGCGTGCTGCAGGATTTTTTTTATATGGTGCACACTGACTACACAGACCCATTCTCTCACATGTGAGCCTACCAGCTTTCTCCTGCTTGACTGGAAGCCGCTAGAATTTACAAGTACAGTGGACCCCCGGTAAACGATATTTTTTCACTCCAGAAGTATGTTCAGGTGCCAGTACTGACCGAATTTGTTCCCATAAGGAATATTGTGAAGTAGATTAGTCCATTTCAGACCCCCAAACATACACGTACAAACGCACTTACATAAATACACTTACATAATTGGTCACATTCGGAGGTGATCGTTATGCGGGGGTCCACTGTATATATACGTCAAACACGGTGGCTCATAAGACGTATATACATCTACTATCCGACTAACAACCTGCTTGACATACTACGACCACTCGACTTACGACCGTGTTTTTTATGCTAAACTTATGGGAAATAAACAACTGTTTGTGTTGTACACAGTGTTTATCCTAAACCTTACAGTATAAAATACAGTACTATCAGCATAAAAAGTAAAGTAAAAATGGAATAGCAAAATAAAACAATAAAATAAAGTCATTTAAAAAATGTGATGTTGATATTCAATAGTAAATTTCGACTTACGTCCATTTTGACTTACGACCAGTTGGTCAGAACCAAGCTCGGTCATAAGTCGGATGGTAAGTGTATACGACCGAAACAGTCAAAGGGTTAATATTCTGGCCATCTCCCACTGAGGCAGGGTAACCCAAAACAGAAACACTCACCATAATTCCCACTATTACTGTCATGCCAGAGGCATGCAGTACTCAAAATAGCAAGGGTCACCCCGATCCACAAAGGAGGAGACCAAACAGAGTTGAATAACTATAGGCCAATATCCAACTTACACCCTCTCTCAAAAATCTTCGAAAAATTAATTCATAAACGAATCTACTCCTACCTTATCTCCCAAAACATACTCAACCCCTGCCAATTTGGATTCAGGCCAAATAAAAATACTAATGATGCTATTATACACATGCTAGAACATATATACACTGCAATAGAGAAAAAAGAAGTCCCACTGGGGATCTTCATTGACTTACGTAAAGCTTTGTACATTTAACCTGACTTGCTCCACGTAAAATTGTCACACTATGGTATAAGGGGGCACCCCTCAACTACCTCATCATCCCTCAGCAACAGAACCCAATATTGTTGCAAAGGGGGCAAATCTTCTGCAAAACCCAATTACATTTGGTGCCCCACAGGGAAGTGTTTGGCCCTCCTCTTTCTCCTATACAAATGACCTACAAATTTTCGCAATTACTCAAACCCACACTATTTGCAGATGACACACATACTCTTCCCCCACCCGAGCCCAGTCCGCTAGCCAATACTGTAAATACAGAATTACAGAAAATATTCCCTGGATGAGGCTAACAAACTTACACAAAAACATTGAAAAAACCTACTTCATTCAGTTTGGTAACAAGCTACAGATTCCCTTTTAAACATAATGATAAACGATCACCTACACAAAGCTAAAAAGGGGGAAAATTCTTAGGAATCCCCCTTTGAAATTTAAACTCAAATTTATAAATATACAACAAATTTCTAAGAAAATTTCAAGACTGTAGGCATCTATCGAAGTACTACAAATCCCCACAGTCAGCCCTCCTGGCCCTAATCACTTTTATTTCCCCCATCCCCCTAGGGAATTTTGCATGGGGCTCAACAAAAAGTAACCATCTCAGACCACAATTCCCAAACAAAAGGCTGCAGTTAGAATAAATAAAAAATTCTCACAAAGGGCAGCACACTCCCCAATATTAATACACTAAACCTATTCACCATACAAAACTTCATACTTATACTGCACCTATTACAAAAAAAAACACTTAACTCTAAATTTTAACCCCTCCCCAAACATCTCCTTCCCAAACCTAAACAGAACACATGACCAAAACCCAAAAGGCACAGATCACTCTTTGATGTTCCTCGTGTCCATCCCACACTATGAAAAAACTCAAGACAAAAAAAGGCCCTAAAATCTGGAACTCCTACCTGAAATATAAAAGAAACCTACCTTTTTTTAAAATTTAAAAGTCTCTTCTCAAAGACACTTACTAAACCCAAAAACCAAAAAAATACTAAATAACTAAACCCTTATAAATTGTTATTTTAAAATGTTTCTCACAATTTATCCCAAAAATGTTAAACCCAAAAACCCCAATCAATTTTTTATTTTTTAAATAACTCCCTAACAAAACTCCATTCACGAATGTACAACAATGCAAAAACCATTACCGTCTTTTAATACTCATTTGTGTTTTATGAAAACTTTTTTACTTTAAAGTTTTATCCCGATGTTCATTGCTTAGTTCACTTAATTTTAATTTTTAAAGCCGCCCGAATGCTATGCAAGAAAGGGGTTTTGGCATACTGCTCTTTTCTGAATTTTTGTCCCTCTGATGTGTGCACAAATTTTTAATAAATAAATAAAATAAAAATAAAAAAACAGCACATACCTAAACACCTCCAGGACTCAAGCCCGACTAAAACCAGTTTCCTGAATCCTTTTCCCCGAATTTACCGTGCTCACACTCCAACAGCTCATCCGTCCCAAAAATAAATCTGCCCCCACTCATTCCTAAATAACAACACACACACACACAACCCCCTACTGATGCCCAAGCCCCCTTTCAACAAAACCATTACCCCCCTCCCTCCATCTTTTCCAGGGATAACCCCTACCCCCCTCCCCTCCACTACAGATTTTTACACGCCCAAGTCTCCCATTTTGCTCCATCCCCTCTTTAAAAACCAACCACTCAAAAACGTTTCTTTAGCCCTCGAATAAACTTGAAACCCAAACCCCCCTCCTAATTTCCACACACAATTCCTTTCAAATATTTACGCCACACTTGCCCTTTTGCACACTCCACTGCCCCCCGCCTCCTCCCCGCTGCAACATTTACAAACCCCGCTCACACCCATAAAGAGTTTGGACCACTATACATTGGTAACATTCTTTGTTTTTCCTGCAGGCAGATGCCTCAATGCACCACCCACCTTTTTCCCTTCATCAGTTCTATGGTTAACCTTGTCCTTCATAAACCAATCTGCCGACATATCCACTCCCAAATATCTAAACATATTCGCTTCTTCCATACTCACTCCCTCCAATTTGATATTCAATTTTTCTGTACCTAACTCGCTTGATACCCTTATCACCTTACTCCTATCTATGTTCACTTGCAACTTCCTTCCTTTACACACCCTCCCAAGCTCATTCACCAACCTTTGCAACTTCTCTTCAGAATCTGGTCACCCTGTCTCAGTGGGAGATTGCCAGTGTTAAAAAAAAAAAAAAGGTTCTTGCTTAAAGCTAAAGCATAGTTCCTGTGTATCAAGGCAAAGGGTACAAAAGAGTGTAAAAATTATAAGGGAATAAGTCTGTTGAGTCCTAGGTAGTAGGTTGGTAGACAGCAACCGCCCAGGGAGGTACTACCGTCCTGCCAAGTGAGTGTAAAATGGAAACCTGTAATTGTTTTACATGATGGTAGGATTGCTGGTGTCCATTTTTCTGTCTCATAAACATGCAAGGTTTCAGGTACGTCTTGCTACTTCTACTTACACTTAGGTCACACTACACATACATATATATATTATATATTATTATATTATCACACCGGCCGATTCCCACCAAGGCAGGGTGGCCCGAAAAAGAAAAACTTTCACCATCATTCACTCCATCACTGTCTTGCCAGAAGGGTGCTTTACACTACAGTTTTTAAACTGCAACATTAACACCCCTCCTTCAGAGTGCAGGCACTGTACTTCCCATCTCCAGGACTCAAGTCCGGCCTGCCGGTTTCCCTGAATCCCTTCATAAATGTTACTTT